TGATTGTAGCCTCAAATTACAAAACACATCAAGCTAAAGTTTCACAGATACCATTTTAAATGTGGGATGAATTGAGATGGAATCGCCCCGTATGCGAAGCCCAGCAGACGAAAACTAGGACAAGATGCAGAGAACTTTTTCGATGAGGTCCTCCTTGACTGTCTCGTGCTGGAGTAAAAATAGACGACGACTATGCAAATTTCAGCAGCCACAAGCTGCAGGCGCCTTTTTGTTTTTAGAGGTCGGAGGGAATCGGAGCACCTTTCTTCAGCAGGACCGCAGTGGCGTCGCACGTCACGTTATCCTCCAGGTCGGTGCTGCCCGTCAGCCCGTTGGCCAGGTTGGCCGAGCTCTTCTTTCGGCGGTCGAAGTAGCGATGCGCCCGGCCGTTGAACCTGCAGACAACACAGATTTAGTGACGAAACCACCACCGAGCACGAGGAAAAACCGGCTTGTGAAGGCGGCACTCACTTCATCATGAGGATATAAACTGCATACATGAGGATCAGGACCAGAGATTCCCACCTGCACACAAACAACCAGTGAATGTCACGTCAGCAGCTTAAAGCCCGTTCACATGTATACGTGGGATTCTGCAGGAAACACGAGTACGCACCAGCACACCTGCTCGTCGTAGATGAACTAAAGAGGCGACACAAAGAGGACATGTTAGTCACAGGGAGGGAAATTAATTCTGCGTCTGCGCCACTAGAGGGCAAAACCAGCCCAGAGCTCAGACAAGAAAAAAAAAAAGGTCAAACGGTGACCTTTCGGTTCAAAAGACACAAAAAACATGCTGTTCTTTTTTAAATCTGGCATTCTGGTGCATTAACTCCAAGCTTCTGTTGCTCCTGTTTTTACTCACTGTGGGCTCGTTTCTCACTGCAACAGAAAAACCTGCACCTCTATGGAAACAGAACAACCGTGACTAGAAGGAGAGAGGACTCAGAGATGTCCTCTGTGCAGAACGACAGTGTTAGAAAGCAGCAAACCCGTCAGATAACAGAAAGATGTTTCCCCATGCTGAATGTATCGTCAACAACTTCCTCCTCTGTTCACTGTTTCTGCTGCTTTTGTTTTATTGATCCAACATGTTTGATTTTTCTCTCGTCATCATTTTGGACAAATTTTGAGGAATTATGAATGATTTTTCTAACCATGCTGGTAAAGTTAACGCCCTTCTAGACAACTTTTAAACCACGTCCCAGTTGGAAGGCAACAGAAATAAATAGAGCGAAACAAGGAAAAAATAAAACAAAAATAAA